AAGCCGGAAATGGCCATTCCAATCTCCTTTTTCTTTGCCGGTAATAATATCTGAAAACAAATGTCGATTCGCCCGAGGGCCAGCGAATCACCTGTCCCCGCAGCAGGTCAATCTCGCGCAGCCGTTTGCGTTCATTTTCACTGAGCATTGGTCGTCCGATTGAGGGCAGGCCCTCTTTGATCTGCTTCTCCAACAGTTCAGTCTTCTTCTGCGTTTCGGCCAGCAGCTTTTCCAGATTCTCCAGTTTTGCCTGCATGTGAGGAAGGAAAAATCAATCAATATGAGAAGACTGGGAGGAAAATTAACGGGGCAGGACGAAAGCTGACATAATCAACTAATGAGGGAGGCAGGGTTAGTGAAGGGTGCAAAGAAGAACAAGGAGAAAATAAGAAGAAGAAGAAGAGGAAGAATAAGAAGAAGAAGAAGAAGAAGAAGAAGAAAAGAAGAAGGGGTAAGAAGGAACTCGGATGCAATATATGGTAATGTTTTCTTATGACGACGTCTAATGGCAGAATTTCCCTTATCCAGTTTGCCTACGGAATGCGTGGTTAAAGGGAAATTAAAGGGTGCAGCAAACCCGGGGCCGTATAAGTGTATGATAACTGCGCAACAAGAAAGAACTTACAGCTGCTTGTTATTGTTTTACTTAAATAAATATGTGGAGGAAAACTTGCAGAAAGAACAAAAGAGGTTGAAAGGGAAGCCTATACACCAAGAAAACTATTAAAACCACTTTCATGTATTAACATAGTCAAGGAGGTGTTTTAATAGGCGGAAATGTGACGTAATGGAAATGTGGAAGTAGTTTTTTTAAAATTATTTATCTCAGAAAACGCGGTCTCACAAGAAAGCCTTACTTAATATATGAATGGATACCACTTAGAGACTTATTTCCTACCTGCTTTTCGCTATCGCCGGCCGTCGAGGTGGGAGTGCCGTCCTGCTTCTTATACCTGTAAGGGAGGAACAGGGTAATGCTCATGTGTGTAACGCTAAAACTTGTGTATTTTCATCTATTCAGATAGTTTGTGTTGGCTTTCAGGTCTTTTGGAGCCTAAATGTGGGTTTATGGTCGGTCTGCATTGAAATGCTGCTGTCCTATACCTTGCTCGACTCTCAACAAATAACTTTAGCGGTAGTCAGGTGTGCGGACGGCACATTTAATAGATACGTTGCAAATATTCCAAACGCATCATCCTAAATCATGCAGTATGCTGACACAGCCTCCTTTTTATATCATTGTCCTTTATATGTTAATTTTTACGAAAAATGCAATAAAGCTGCATAATTTTCATCTGCCGCTGTATTTCCTAAATACTCCCATAGAACATTTAAGGTGAAAAACAGCAAACTGATTTGTCCGGGTAATATTTCCGTCCCAATTGTGTAACCCCGTTTTTATGGTAAACCGGATGGAAGAACAACTTGACGGTTGCTTCAGCACAACATTATGCACTTCCCGTACTACTGCGACATCTGCAACTTGCTTCTCCTAATTCCCCTTGGGCCTTCTGACAAAACAGAGGTTTGTGTCTTATCTACTGCACTCAGCTGTCAGCGTACCTATCAACTTCAGACTGGAGCACATCTGTCCTCTGTAGAAGGAGTTGGAGGATGCCAGTAGAGAGGATATCCTTCTGTTCCATGTACTCCACATAGCTGCGCAGTTCACGTTCTCTGTCCTCGGCGTCTGAGCGGTAGTCGGAAAACTCGTCATTTGTGGTGCGGACTTGCGTACGCAGGGCGTTGGCATTAGCCTTCACTGCGGCCAACTCCTCATCCACCGCATCTAAAATTACGAACATACCGTATATCTTTCTACTTTAATACATAAAGTAGGATTAATTTCTCAAGTAAAGGCAACCCTTGCTGAGGGCCCAATTGAAGCCTATAATGATAGATAAAAAGGCAAACTAGCTGACAGATACGCAGTTGAGCAGATTGGTTCTTAAGTATCCTCTTAGTCTTCATTATTTTTATCCTAGTAAATTGTTACACCATTGTGTATAAAGACGGCGAATAAGTGCTCCTATTCAGGTTTGTCAGGTACTTCATCGCCTTGAAAAAGTACTCCGCTTTGCTTACGTGACTGATTTATTCGTCTCTCGGGAAAAATGAGCATCAAAAGAAGCAAGTGTAGCCTCTGGTCTAGCTTCGTCAATGACTGGAGAAAATGAGTGGACTTTCTGAAAACTTGATGGATTCAGTGTCACGGGCAGTCCCCGTGTGTGTTTCTAGTTTTCCAGATATGTTGACTATCTGCTAATGAGTAATCCACACTTGTATACTAAATTGCACGCTCATATTTATATTTAATGGTTGATTATAAGCACAGAAAACTGTCATATACGAAAGCGGGATTTGAAGAACATGGCTTAGTAAAATGAAAATACTTTAATTAAACGGGAAACAGCATTTTGAATCTAAGTGGAACTTTCCCACTGTATATACCGAACCCTTGAACGTGTATTTTCCTCGTTTTAAAGTGACTTTGATCGTGCTTCCGTTATGTGGAATGTCAGTTGGCCGTTTCTAATAAACCGTCCATCTATGAACCTGATATAAATAGAGTGACGTGCCAGGAAAATCTAAGGTCAGTCGCACTTTAGATGGGACTTTCAGAAAATAACTGAATTTTAAAGCTCTTTTTGCCGACTAGACTTTTAACTCAAAAAAGCGCAGCTCTTGGGTTCGCAACTAATAAAAGGAAGGCATTGTTAACTTAATCATACCCAATTCGTGTTCAAAGGACTCCAACTCTTTTATTAAAGCTTCTTTGTTCATCTCGGACCTCGATTCGCTTGATTTTGATTGACGCGATTTTCGAGATGACATAGGCGACCCGGCTGGGCTCTCTAGCAGCTTCTTTTTCAGTTGGCCTACCTGTTAAGCGGATAAGTGTGATCAGTTAAATATAACTACTGATTAATTAGCCAATAGTTAGTATAAATTAATAAACGGTGACCTACCTGTGTTTCATAGTCCTTCAGACGCTCCATAGCGTCCTTATACTTTGAGAACCACTCGTGAGATTTGGACTCGGAAGTCAAAACGAGAAGGTCCCGAGACAGCTGACTTAGTCGTTTCAGCGACTCTGCGAGACACTCCTGCTTTGCCCTGAGTTCCTCCTCGTCTTTGACCGAGAGGGGAGCAGACCCGACAGACGCCTCTTGGCCAGTTGTGCAACCTTTTCAAAGTAAACCAAAGTTGCATGCTTCTGCAGATTTGTGTTTCAAAATGTGCTCGTGTGCGTGTACAGGAGGTTTGGCAAGATGAAGAGATAAATGCAGGTTCCTCCACGATACACTGTATTGGGGTGGGGGGGGTGTTGTTGGGTAACCTCTGGTCTCACTCGCATCACTGGTTTGGAGGATCTTGTGGTAGGCTCAACGGCAAGATGATTGTGACTTATTAGCTGCCCTGCGCGAATGGTAATCCAAACCCAAGGGACTGACCCGTGGGAGGTTTGAATCCGTTTCCATTCACCGCTTTATCTGCCTGCACTACGAGGCGGACGTTCTGCTAACCGAGCTTAGATCATACAAAATTCTGTGCGCTTGGGCTACGCTTGCTGAGTACCTTTAAATTAATGTGAATAAGGAAATGGGACTCGTGGATATGGGGAAGAGGGGTTTGAAAACACAAATGTTTTTTGACTAACTGTCACAAGACGCAAGTAGAAGACTGGAGGTATGGAAATAACAATTTCCAACAACTTCTGGGGAAATCAAAAAACAAAAATGTCAAAACAGGCGCATCTACACGTGGAGAGCTGGGTGACCCACTGAGCAGCCGAACCTAGGCAGCGGCTAAATATCGGTAAAACACCTCTCTAAATTAATAATATGTTACTACTTTACTGTATCGTATGACCCAAATTTAAGCACCATCTTTCATGAACTTGTGGGAGCTTGCTGTGCTGACTCACGCTACCTTCATTCGCCAAGCCTCCCTCGCTGCACGGTATTGTCCATTCGCACGCTCGCTGTCAATTCACCGCGTGTACGCTCGAAGCTAATCGATACTTCCGGCTCACCTGATTGGCGGCAGCTGACAGAGTACTCATCCAGCAGCCAAAGGTTCACTCACCCACAGAAATTCACGGACACACCTGGCGTGCAGACGCAGCTCGCGGCTGGTGCACAACACAGTTTTTGTACCGTCTATTTTCTGGCAGTAAACCTCTGTCTATCAACTACTTCTTCCCTGACGCCTTATTTAGGGGAACCTTCTCTTGTCGCCTCAACCACTTGCGACAAACTTCTGCCCCTTAATTCTTTCATTCTCTTCCTTGTTTTTAACTATTTTCTCTAGCGTAATAGCCTTTTTTTAGTTGCCAGCGTCAATGCTCACACTATCCTGGTGCCCATGTAGGTTTAACGCAGGGCGACTGACGCACACGCCCTGTTGGGGACAGTAATTCGCTGCAAAATGCGAATTTTGGATGCATTTTTCTGATTCTTGCCGGCTAATCTGCTACGTGATCTGATGTTGATGGAGGTTACAGTCAGTATCAGCAGGCAGACGGATGAATGACTTTCAAGCGTGTTTCGTCTCAAGCCTTCTTCCGCTGGTTCCCAAGTCGCGTAAGAAATCACGTAATAATGGTTCTCGCGCTGCCGGCCAATTCACGCAGAGACAGTTTCTGGGATAGCCATTCACAGGAGCCGAGACACCGCTATCACCCAATCAGCTGATCAAACGGACTAAGTGACTGGGCTAACCTCGTGTTTCCAGCCCTCTCAGTGTTTCCGAGGGCCTAACGCCTGTGAGAAACAACCTGTCGCAGCATCACAGAGTTATCCAAATGCGGCCAAAGTGAACCATGACACTATAAAGGCATATGAACTAACCTCATGCAAGCACCTGGAACGTGAACTTTCTCATTCATTTGCTAATCTCAGGTCCCCATACGTGCCCCCTAAATGCGTGATAGGTCGCTGGACCAACATGGGGGCCAGATTGGGCGACGGTTGTATCGCCTACTCTCCCCCCCATTCATGTCAGACATGGCGAACCACAACTGAACCTCCTAACACCTTCAATCGGCGCACCGACCGCCAGCCTCCAACCCGCATCGACGACCGCCAATCCAGCCGTTTACAGTCTCACTAAACCATCATGCCCTCCCTCCTTCCAAAACAGGGGGG